CCCCAAAACCCCAAAACCCCTTAATGCAAAAATGAATGTGTTGATTGATGATTCAGTAAAATATATAAATATTTTGAATAATAACAGCCAATAAAATGCCAAAGACTAATGATTTCAATAAGAGTATGTCTAGTTAGAAATAAATGAAAATGGTACCTTTGAGAATCAGAGCTGATACTACTAACCAAACCATATCTAATTATAATAACTAAACTTCTCAAAACCTTACAAAAGATTGTAGTCTCTCCATTTAAAACTATCTGCACAGAAAGAGTACATCAAAATTTATAGGCAAAACCAAGAGCTTTGCAGCTTTGCCAAACTTTAGCGAATAATCCCAGATTGCTGTTTCAAACTCTAATGATCCCAAAATTACATTTTATAAGTTATACAAACAACCAACTAATATAATAAGCTCGCCTGTTAATGCTGAGATAGAGAAATATCAAGACCTGAAATAGTTTCAAAGTAGTTTATAAGACATTAGAAAAGAGAAAAAATAAGCAGATAACAAGATTAAGAAGCTAGAAAAGAGCATAAAGAGATATGAAAGGTAAATAACTGAACTTATAGAGAACACAGTAGACATTGAGAGAAATCTTCCAGCTTCGGGATCAAGCACAGCTTTAAATATCAGAGAAAGTAATAAATCTAGAGAAAAATTGCGAACACTTTAGAAGGAATTCAGCAACGACAATATACGCTAGAAAAAAAATAAGCATTTTCTTAAGAAATTATCTAACAATGAAAATAAGTAACAGTAAACTTTGAAAATATAATAGAAGGACCAATAAGATTAGTAAAAAGTGGAGATTAGAAATTAGGATTTGGATATTAATTAGATAAATGAATAATAAAAATATTCTAACAAAGAAAATTAAGGCACTTAAATGCTAGTTAGTTAAAGACGTAGAAAGGCAAATGTTCTATCTCCAAGAATACTCAACAAATAATCTGTGATATTGCAGGATAGAATTGCTAGTCTAGAGAAATAAAAGTTCAATGCTCTCAAGACTAACATGGAAAGATCTATCAAGACAGTTAAGGATGGAGAAGTCAGAATGAAAGCAACAGCTAACTTAGTCAACTTAGATCTTGTAAGCAATTAAGATCTGCATTGGTTTTATGAATACGAAAAGTCTCAGTCATAGTTAGAGTCAAAAAGAAAAAGATCAATTAGTAATTAAAAGTAATAATCAAAGGATATCTGGAACATTATTGAGTTTATGAAAAAATAATCGCCAAAGATTTCAAATACCAATCATGAAATAGTAGATTACAAAACCAGAAGTTCAACTATTTTAGCCGAGTCGTAAACTCATGTCAATCTTTTAAATTAAAGCAATCTGAATACAACTAAATCTGTCTATCAAGTATTGACTAGAAATTAACTAGATAGACTTAGAAATCTTAGAAGAGAAAATGGAATGAAAAGAATGAGAAGTATGGGTGAATCATAATTTAATGATACCTTTAGAAACTCCCAATTGTCAAAATATCTCTGAGAGATAACTTTACCTAACTTAAATCTTGATTTTTAAGAATAAATTACAAATCATTTAATTTCATTATTAAAGATAAATAAGCAATTTTTAGAAATAGGGGTTTTGGGGTTTTGGGGTTTTGGGGTTTTGGGG